TCCGCGCAATCAAATAATAGTAATGGAAAGAAAATGAAGTTTTGAAATGGACACAGAACATTTATTTGAAAGCTGGGAACAGCGGAAGCTGCTGGAAAAGGTAAAAGATGAAAAAATAATTGAATAAATATTAAGAAATTTCTTTTGAACATAGAGAGATATATATCATGCTTGCGGAAAATGAACGGTCTGTCACGTTTTTTTTTTTTTTGATCGACATCTGCCATCTTTATTGATAGAGCTATCTGGAAATGAGTTGCACCGAGAGGCTTTCTCGTGTTTTCAAGGTAGTATTAAACCGTGATAGGCCTTATATGGAAATATATACTCTACCAACCAACTTTGCCTGCTTATCTACCCCCACATAAATACCAGTACCTACCTACCTACCTATACAACAAACCATTGTGTATCCACACATACAAATCATTGTGTAAAAGTCGTCATCTACAGCAAATTAATCACCTTTTGACATCATCATCATCAGCATCAGCATCATCATCATCATCATCATCATCATCATCATCATCATCGTCGTCGTCGTCATCATCATCATCATCATCAATACAATAATAATTAAATAATAATAATAATAATAATAATAATAATAATAATAATAATAATAATAATAATAATAATAATAATAATAATAATAATAATAATAATAATGACTTTATTTAAAGAAGAAGACAATAAATGATGTTAAAAGCTCGGCAGTTGATCTACTGCTTCAACAAAATATATCAGCTGACTTTATATTTGGCTCAGATAAAGCAAAACTCATTTTATAAACTCTGAATTTGGTTTAGGTACATATAACTTTTTGTTTGAGATGGATCTTAGTTCATACATAGGTACATTTTTAACAAATTTTTAAAGTTACATTTAAGATAATCAGAAACAACAACAGGTAAATCTTGTGATTTAAAGACTAGTAAACAGTTCTGAAATTTTGCAATATTCTGAAATGGAAGCCACTTTATGGTTTTAAAAAGATTTATTGATGGTGTATCTAAATCAGCATCAAGAACAACTCTAGCTGCCCTTGTTTGAAATTTCAGTAATCTTCCCTGACTTTCTGTGCTGTTAGTATCCCAGATAAAACAACAATATTCTAGGTGTCGCATGATACATGCATTCTAGAATATCTTTTTCTGTTCTTGAGGGAGATAAGATTTTTATTCTGTTCAAGAGATGAACCAGCGAGTTAACTTTTTAATGATTAACTTGTATTTTCCAGAACAAGATATTTTCTATCATGTTGCCAAGTAGGTTTTTTCAAAATTATTTCAGACTCTTGTACATCCATTCCTTTTATCACTACTTTGAAAATATTTTTCTCAGTTTGTACACTTGCTTGACTATTTACGACCATGGCAGCTGTATTTATCTTCACACCATTATGTTCATACTAGTTAATATTTTTAACAAATCTTTTTTGAGCCAATTTCAGTTTTATCAAATGTCAAATCATCTGCAAATATGTTGGTGGTGGAGAGCTCAGTGTGATATATGATTTTTTATGATTTTTTGTACTAGGTCATATACATATACATATATAACATGTTCAGCAAAACTCCAGCTTTAAAGACATTGGCAAGCCATAATTCCGAGGTTATTAATTATCGATATTCCATGTTGAAAGCACAACGAGACTAAGAATACCCTCACAATTTCCTATATTTCACATGCAGGAATTGGGAATTTCGCTGACTTTTCGTAAAGGAACAGTCTAGTCATTGTTGCAAGCCACAACAGACAAACCGCTACGCCATCGTGACGCATCATGATCTTTCATTTTACGTGAATGAGCATAACACTTTTCTCTTTCAAACACGATCGATAAAACTGGCACTTTAATTTCTCTGTTGTGATTGTTACATGTTTTTACTGATGACGTATTTTTGATATGCGAATCATGGAAAACGAGGAAATTTCCGCACAACCCCAACCATATACGGCAAACTAGTTAGCGTATTGTTTCCCGTGTTTTGCGACGATGCAGGCAGTGTGATTCGGATACTTTTCTTTTCTATTTGTCTTCTTCCTTCATTATGGAGGATTTTCTATTTTAGGAGGCAGGGTACAGTTTCGTATTTTGGCCCCTGGCAAATTTCTTAACTTAAGGCTATGGTGTGACTTTTTCAGCAATTATTGTCTACTAATTAAATATATGGATATATTTTTGAGCTAGGTGTTTCGGGCTTGTGTTGCTCTTAAAATTGATGTCAGGCATGTACACCTTCCATAGTTACTCTGCAATATGTTGATAGTGAAATACCAATAGTTGTCTACGAAGAAGAGCTAGCCTCTCGTAACAGTAAACATGTGGGTTTCGGACAAGAAGCATATCTCAAAAACGGCTTGGATGACAACTATTTTCAACTGCATCAGCCTGTTTAGTACACACTGTTTGGCAGAATTGTAATCTAGGAAAAGGGCTTGTGTTTGCACTGTGAGTACCACATGGTGTCAAAAATGACCTTCGGACATGAAAATTGCAGGTATAAATTTTGGGTTGGGGTGCATAAACTTCTTCTGCTATGAACTGCCACTGACTTCTCTGGTCAAGTGGATAATATTTTTATGCTTTGTTTAATATAGGTATCTCAAAATATGGACATTCTTGACCTCACTTGTGTATTTGATTTTTTATGATTTTTGTACTAGGTCACTGATTGCGGCATTAAATTTGTACATAAATACTGGACCCTGCCCCCTTATAGTGGTGATATTACGTCTCTACACTTTTGAAGGAATCAGAGGACACACTTTTGCCTTTTGTTGTTAAGATACCACCCCATCCATTTTGCGGATTTTTGGTCACGCTTGGATGAGTGGGATGACCATTATCTCGCGCTTGTATTACATTTGTCTAAAATACAAGATCTCGGTTGATGCCAAGGCTAGGGGTAGTTATAGCTGACATTAATCGATTTCAACGGTCACTATACTGCGGAAAGAATGCACAAAATTCCATCCGATTGAGGCTATATTTAGCTGTCTCTTCCATGGCCTTTGTCGCTCGATCTCTGCTATAAACAAATTGGATGAAATGAGTCAAGAAACATTGGCTAGCTGAATGTTTCCTTAGGAATCACAGACTGGAATATTATTTTATATAAAGATCATCTTAATATTAAGTCATCAAAATAACATGTCAGTATGTACTTATGTAGGTAGATAGGTAGGTAGGTAGATTGGTAGGTAGGTAGGTAGATAGATTGGTAGGTAGGTAGGTAGATCGGTAGGTAGGTAGCATAAATGCCTCTTAAAGACAGATGTTTGGTTAAGATTGTTAGACGATAACTATATGGTTAGAAGACTTTTATTATTTTATAGACTGTTTAAACAAATTTCATCCGACAATAAAATTTACATTCAGTGTCTAAAATAAAAGTATCATTTGTGGTCGTAGAGGTCGTGAGAAATGAAAATGATGACATCACTACCATGGTTCATGTTAAGAACACGAATATTCATCAATATGTTGAATATTCTTGATGTCATCCTAAATCATGTAAAGACTGGATACCATATAGTGAAGCAAAAGGATGCAAAATCAAAAATAGAAATATGATATCATACCTTTTGTTACTGAATATAATCCAAATTTGCTTATATATGGGTATGATTATAACAAACATATTGGGAATTATTAAATTTATTATGTAAAGAAAGTATTAAACTCAAACCTGCTTATAAAATGACTAAAAATCTTAAAAAGATTTTCTCATTAATTATAAACAGGGATAAAACATCATCAACTAAATGTAATAGACCATGATGTTCGCACTATTCTTTTAATAATGAAAATACTTCTTTCAATAATAATAATAATAATAATAATAATAATAATAATAATAATAATAATAATAATAATAATAATAATAATAATAATAATAATAATAATAATAATAATATGAAATAAACATCTATTTTGCGTTGTGATACTAACTTTGCGACATCAAATGTTATTTATTTGATAACATGCAAAATATGTGGCATCCAGTGTATTGGACAAACCAGTCACAGATATTTAAACCTATGAACCAACACAGATCAGACATAAAAAATGAGATCGATCAATAATTTTCATCCCACGTTGCCGCACATTTTAACAAGAGTTTCCATACTTTACCAGATTTCTCCTTTCAATCTATTGTTATAGCTAATTCTGAGATGGAACGTGCGCTAAAAGAAACCTATTGGATTCACCATCCTAATACGATATATCCAAAAGGCCTAAATTTTTCAATAGTATGCAACATTCATTAATCAAACATTTTTTTTTATAAATATGTCTTCTTTTTAATTTTATTTAAGAATATTTTTTATTATTTTAGGCTAATCTACACAATAACTTAACTAGTGACAGTAAAAACTAATCATAAAATTAAGTTTACTGAAATGAAAGGGCATTTTAAAAGTAATTCTCAATATAGTATGAATAATTGTTATAAAATGCTTATTTATTTTATGATTATGCACACCATTAATTTTTATTATATAATTTGAGTTTGGATGAAAATTTGAACACGCGTCAATATTATATCAAGTTATAATATTTTTTTAAATGGGCATCAAGCATAACAAAATTATTAATGAAACTTTACATCTAATATTCATTATACTTGTCTTAGCTCGTACAAAAGTAACAAAAGAAAGAGTGAAGCCAAGAAGCTTTGTAAAATTTAACAAAATAATGTATTTCCCTAGAAACATAAAAAATGACTTGCGGTTTATGAATTAGTATGTGAGTGTATGATTTGAGTTTTTAACATAGCTTTAACAACTTTCCAGTCATATCGCTACGATGTCTGCAGTGTGGCAAGTTATATAGTGATGTCAAGCACTGGGGCATCATGCCGCAGACATGTAGCATCATGTCCCATCCAGTCACATTATCCTGACACCAGACCGACCAGTCCTATTACTAACCTTTTAAGGCTGCGCGCCAAGCGAGGCAGAGTTTAGTACGATTTTTTCAAAGATTTTGGTATAGCTCGACTGGCGATCGAACAATCGATCTTTCGCATCTCAGGCGGAAGCTCTAACCACTAGGCCATCTGGCACCAGACATGCATAATGAATAAACAGATGTAAAGTTTTTATTTTTAAATTAAAAAAAAATTCAATTCAATCTGCTAAAAGTAGAAATGCCTTTGAGCCCGAAGGTATGAATTACGACAGACTAAAAATCACTATGATACGTTAATTTTAACTCTAAATGAAACGCAATTTTTGATCACGTGACTTAGTTCGAGCGGCGTATTAACACCACACAGCCGACTGTCACATTCGCCATAGACGAATTTGATTGTACTGACGAATCTTTCTATATGACTCAATAATTAAAAAAAGACCATAGTTTACTACAAAGCTGAAACGGATCCCGAAATCTAGGCCAGCAAATGTTACAAAGTTTCAAACTACTGGGTGTTTATCAGGTTTAACATAACCGAACTGAATTTTCTGAAAAACGACTGAATCTGAGACTTTCAAAAAGGTAGATATCCTTGATTGACATGATTAGGCGACAGAATGTCTAACTGCTTGAAAAGTCTCAAATTAGATTGATACTTGTAATGCCATATTGTAAGTCGTCCAGGTATAATTTTCTAGTTTATTTTCCTTCTTTCCTTGCATGTAAGCATTTTTTATCATCGTATGTTCATCTTAGACGATTACGAACTTTCTCACTGTCTAAGGGTAAGTCTGTATCACATGTGTTTCTAAAGGTTTAATACCCGCATCTGAAAAATCGAAAAGTCGTAAACATGTTTGGTGTTCTTGTTTGAAACATGACACTGCGAGGAAACATCGCACCCAGAATGAGAATATTTAATCCAATTAATATAAGAATGTAGACGTTTCCATTTAAATAACTTTGTATTGATCTAATTCTCATTCTGTCTGTCGATGGATGGCTGGATGGATGGATTATTGACTGGATGAATACATGTGGTGGAATGGATCGATAGTAGGGCTGACGGATGTGACTTTCTGTTTCTATTATTTTCCATTTTCCAGATGACTATATATATATATATATATATATATATATATATATATATATATATATATATATATATATATATATATATATATATATATATATATATATATATATATATATATATGTATGTATGTATATATAAGTATGCATGTATGCATGCATGCATGCATGTATGTATGTATCTGTCTGTCTGTCTGTCTGTCTCTCTCTCTCTAAATATATAAATATATATATATATATATATATATATATAAACAAACATATGTATGTATGTGTGTTTGTGTGTGTGTGTGTGAATCTCTTATAATTGTTTGAGGGGGATACATGGTAAGCATATGGCTTTATAATTGCATTTAATTTCCTCACTTGCATAATTATGTTAAAGTAACATTTCTTCGCTAAACTCCAATATGTATAAAGAGCCACAGAAATGATCCATGTGTTTGTCCTTGACACTATTCCTATTACTCCTGTATTTTGGTTCTTATATACTGCACATTACAGGCTGGGGTGGGAGTGGCAATGAGGCTAAAGGTGACAAGAAGGGCGATGCTGGGATATTTTGAAGAAGAAAAAAAAAAACATTAATTTTGCCCCAAAATAACTTGAAGGAAGAAAATTGTTTTATAAAAAATGACCATTAAATCTGTTATATTTTTGGACAAAAAGTATCTCGCCACATCCAAACATACTCTCAATAAATTGACCAGTCCCTAATTGTCGCAATAAATCGGACATCACGTGGAAAATAACGTGTAAACATTGTAAAAAGGAAAGAAATGGAATAGAACCGTGGTCGGACGGACTATCTAACGATTCAGCTTTCATTGCAGATGGTTTGGAAACATCAATTAATGGGGGTTCGGTGTGACAAAGCCAGTTCGATCACCTTCCCCGAAATGAGTGCGAAACAAACAAAACGTGTTCTAGAGTAAGTTTTCCTCACTGTTAGCTGGTTAAAATTATGTCCAGAAATTGCTTTTCCCCGATCAATGGTTCCGTCCCACAAATAAACTTCCAAATGTGCTCCTTCCCATAAACGATACTCCTCGATTGCCCTGAATAGGGTTACCCAATGACAGGATATGTTTGTAAAAGTCAAAGTAGATGAGTTGATTCAAAGATATAAGAAAATAAGTTAATTGCGTATACGAAACTGCGTCATATTATCACGTGTATATTTGGATGACGCAGTCAAGATAATGAATTTAAATTTGAATTTGTTATTTTTATTTTCATTGCATGGATCGATGCCATTCTCAACAGATCACATGACTCCGATTCAAAACGGTGAACAAGCAGCTTTATACGCTCCCGCTGTTGGCCAGGTTGGCAGATCCGCTTCGTTCAGCATTATTAAATTACTAACCTAACCTTGCGTCAGTGCAAGCGTAGATTTTAGTAGACAAGAGTGGGGTTGTAATCGATGCGCTCGACAACAGAGGGGCTGGAATCGATGCGCCCGACCACAGTGGGGTTGGAATCGATGCGCCCGACCAAGTTTTTGGATAGTAATGAATATACTCTCTCTCTCTCTCTCTCTCTCTCTCTCTCTCTCTCTCTCTCTCTCTCTCTCTCTCTCTCTCTCTCTCTCTCTCTCTCTCTCTCTCTCTCTCTCTCTCTCTCTCTCTCTCTCTCCATGCAATGAAAAAAACAATAACAATAAGAAATTCCAAATTCGATTTTAAATTCATTATTTCGTCTGCGTCATCCAAATATACACGTGATAATATGACGCAGTTTCGTATACGCAATTAACTTATTTTTTATATCTTTGAATCAACTCATCTACTTTGACTCAAACATATCTCTCTCTCTCTCTCTCTCTCTCTCTCTCTCTCTCTCTCTCTCTCTCTCTCTCTCTCTCTCTCTCTCTCTCTCTCTCTCCATGCAATGAAAAAAGCAATAACAATAAGAAATTCCAAATTCGATTTTAAATTCATTTCGTCTGCGTCATCCAAATATACACGTGATAATATGACGCAGTTTCGTATACGCAATTAACTTATTTTTTTAGCTTTGAATCAACTCATCTACTTTGACTCAAACATATCGATGCGTTGGAATCTCTCTCTCTCTCTCTCTCTCTCTCTCTCTCTCTCTCTCTCTCTCTCTCTCTCTCTCTCTCTCTCTCTCTCTCTCTTTTGCAGCCGTACCATATAACCATAAATTCCCGACGCGTCTTCATAACATTGTGTTCTTCTGCTGTGAGATTAGAGTTTGGTGCAAACAGATCTGTCTAGTCAGTGAGAACCTGAATAGTACAAAAGTACCGTTATAAAAACGTGTCTTAAGCTAGACATTGGGTTCTGTATATGATGTCGGCTGAAACAGGATGTTTTGGGAGTGGTTATAAATAGGTGGCGCTCATTGAGAAGTTTTAGTGCCAGCGTTTTGTTTTTGGCGATATGCCTAAATAGTGCAAAGATGGAAAACAAACGATTTTATGGGGATTTTAGGCATACCCACAGACGCACACGTGTAACGTAGAAGTCAGTATAAAATTTCAAAGAAAAAAAAAAACAACCTACCAACCCCATTACCCTTGAACTTTGAAAGTGCATACCTGGGAGACATTGTCAAGAAATTATATAATCGACAAAACCTTACCAGCCACGAACACTCGAAATGGCAGATGGTAGTCTCTAGAGATATGCCGCTTTCTAAATCTAAACTGGGTTTACCGACTTCCTACGGGTACTGGATACTACAACTGAAAAAGTATTCGGCCAAAATGAAATCGTGAAACCTTCCCATAATGCAGTGTTATCAAAACTATATCCAGGCATCAGATTATCCGACGTACGCAGTTTTTGAGATTATATTTACCCATGTAAATACTCCTCAGTTTTCTCATGTGTTATTATTATCTCTACACTCATTTTCCTTGCATATTTCGTTATGTTGCTACATGTATAAGTTGATCTAATTGTAATGTGTAAATGTTGTAGATGGCGTTGATTTTGCGCAATGTTTGATTTCCGTTCATTCTGTCCATCATAGGATATCCAAAGGACATTCTCTCTCTCTCTCTCTCTCTCTCTCTCTCTCTCTCTCTCTCTCTCTCTCTCTCTCTCTCTCTCTCTCTCTCTCTCTCTCTCGCCAAAGATAGGAGAAATAATAATATAAATTAATAAATTATAACTTATTTTATGGAAAATGATACTCGCAAAACTATTACAGAGAGACTATAACAAATTGCGACCAGGTTGCTTACATGATAAATACTCTTGTTACGAGCATCTTATTCTCAAGGATAAATAATTATTAGCAGGTCCGATTCATGTCCCATCGGAGCCTCTAAGTACGTTTACACTCTGCGTACTGCCTGACTAGCTATGAGCCTAAGCAATCTGACCGACTTTATCAACTAGCCTACGTCACACGGTCAATGGGCTTTCCTTGCATTTCATTCTCTGGTGAGTCTATTGGAAACTAGTAAACAAGTTGTTTTTGTGACTCAGCCATTGTGTAAATATTTTGTTCATTGGACAGTTGTAATTGGGTCGCTTGGTTTGACACAAAAAATATTGTATAATAGGAAAATATTGTTTTCACAGCGTATAGAGCAGGATCTATCAGATCGAAACTGAAAATATTGGAATCGTATCTTGAAGTTAGGCCATCCTTGCTTATGATTGGGCTAGCCAGCTCATTCGCATACCAGGAATCCGTGTCCTAAAGTAGGCCCCTTGCGTATGATTGGGCTAACCAGCCCATTCTCTTACCAGGAACCTGGGTCATAAAGTAGGCCCCATACTTATGATTGGTCCAGCACGCCTTATTTGTATACCAAATAACAATGATGAATTATCGTCCGTGTGAAGTTAATCCATACTATCGTTATTCTATTTCTTGCTGTGTGTTTAACACTATTTAGCTGAACACTTAACATAGTGGTTAGCATAACTGGTATAGGATGAACCCGGGAAATCCCCATGCAACCCACACCAACGGGATATTACTAGCAAGCTTTCTCACATACCCAATATGGCGAGTCCAAAGACTTGAACCGACGTGGACTGAACATTATAACAAAAAATATGGAAAGT